ATTTTTTAATCTATTAGTTGATTAAGATTTACAAGAATTTGGGAAAAATTTACGGGAACTAATTAATATTAATCGATAAACAAAATTGATTGCTAAGTGCATTCGTTGATATAAAGATGACAGTATACATGACGACCGCAATCAGAGCTTGACTCTAATATAGTTGTTTGCTCTTCTAAAAACCTCATAAATCGGCCTGTTTTTCTGATCCAAGTGATATTGCTAGGTGAAATATTATTCATTTAGCAAATAGTGTAGAGTAAGCCCTTGCATTCTTTGGGATATATTTCTGCTGAAAAAATATGTCGCAGAATCCGAACGGAAAGTTTAATAGAAAAAAAATTCTGCGTAGTTTGCAAAAAAATTTCGTCGTGAATTAATGGTTCTCGCCGAAAAATTGAAATTCGCAACGAAAAAATATTTTCCCGCAGGAACTTGTGGAATCACGGTCATTTTTTTTCACAGTGTTCTGCCGAAAAAATATTCGGCAGAATCCTGCATGAAAATTTCCACAGAAAAACAAACTTTTCTACAGAAAAATAAGTTTGCATACGTTCAGAAAAAACATTTCGTCGTGAATCAGCGTGTTCCCGCCGAAAACTGAAAATTTCCTGCAGAAAAATTGAAACTCCCGACGAAAAAATGTTTTCCCGCAGGAACTTGCGGAATCACGCTTATTTTTTTCCACTGGGTAGAATTGAACTAGAGTGGTAGTATCTTGCGCATTAGATAACGGACTATCTGGAGCATTCTTCAAAAGTATGGTTATGTCTGAAGATCTCTGGAAAAGCTGTTTCCTAGAAAATCGTCCTAAATAATTCTAAAAATCTTTTAAGTTGCATAGGCAGAGAGAACATGAAATTCTGGACAAAATAAGGTGTCGCTCGACTTTATCGAAGAAAAGCTCACAGAGTTATGGCAAAAGCAATTTAATACTCAAAAAGCAACTTTTTCACACGGATCGTTTTTGCATGAAAGCTGAGTTTTATGGATTGAAAATTCCTTTTGCCATAACTCTGTGAGGTTTCTTCGAAAACTCAAATGACACCTTATTTTGTTCAGAATTTCATGCTTTCTCGGCCTATACAACTTAAACATTTTTTGAAATTATTCTGTGATTTTGAAGGATTTTCTAGGAAACATATTACAAACTATTCGCTACATCAACACTTAGGTGTTGCAAATTGATAAGCACAAAATATTTCTGTACAGTTAGAACAGTTACACGCAACAACGGTTGTTACGTGAATGACTGTCTTTTACAGAGATTCCATATCTTCTTGAGTTTCTCTTCCTGGAAATATATGTTGGAGTTGACCAGGGATCCCAGATCCAAAACACGAAAATCAGAATATAAAAGTCTAAAATCAGTAGACCTTAGGGCAAAAAAGGGCAGAAACGAAGGAGAAAAGTTTCCAAAAATCAGAAGTTTTCTGCCAAAATCAGAAGATCTGGGACCCTTGGAGTTGACTCTAAAACTCAGTTGCCTTTAAAAGGCAACTAGTTGTCACTAAAATTTGAAAGTTAACTAGTCCACCCTTCAATTTGAAAGTCAACTAGATGTACAGTCAGGACGTTGTATCACTTGACAGTGGCAAGATTGATACGCAGGTATTACATTCAAGACGCACGTCTTTAACGTGATCCAGACAGTATTTCGGACGTTTTTCTGAAGCTTTTTCAAAAAAACAGACTAGTCTAGACATAAAGCCTGACGCGACGTCCAGCCATACTAACGGACGACGCGCCTGCTGTTACGACATAATCAGAGGCACGTATGCAGTCAAGACGGGCAGCATTACCGTGTTGCAACGCCACAACCGTCACCATAGTCTTGACTATATACAGGTAACGCGACTCGATGGGCGTCATTTTAACTTTTTGGACCTTTTCATCCTTAACTGGCATCCTGACTGGCGTCCGGGAGTCCGTCAGGACGTACTCGCGGACATTTCTAAAATATTGTCGTTTTCCAGACTAGCCTGGAAGGGGTTCTCGGACTAGTCCAGACGTCAGTCAACCACTTTTTTTCCTTTACCTGAGCAGGCAGTCTAACTTATATTGTACGAATTTATTGTGTACTTTTTAGAATGAAAACTGTCGAGTTATCAGGTTGTTGCATCTCTCAACGTGCCAGTTATCGTTTATTATCTCTCAGAAACGTTGAATGATAGACGTGAAAAACATCGAGAACTCTACCAATTTTATCTCTTGGAAAACTTCAGAGCGTGTCTTACTGCTGATTTCAGAAGGTACAACTCTCGAGAGACCAAGGACGTAGTTGGTTGGTGATTTTCTCCTCTGACTTACGATCTTAGCCAAAATAAGGTTAGATGTGTCATCTCCATTAAATTTCGGATCGAATGAGGTATGCTGCAATTTGCGAAAACCACATTCATATTTTTAATGTGGGACGGGTCAATTTAAGTCTAAAACATTTTGTTTTCAGGTTGTAGTTAGTCCATTTTCTACTACAACATATGTAAAAAGTTTAAAATATTCCACTTTCTTTTTCCCATTTTCGTTTTCACTTTGGTTTCCTTCGTATCAGCAACACAAACTGTATCCTTCATCTACCACTCCTTATCAAGCATGTTTGTTATTCAAATTGCGTCATAGTAGACACAAATATTTTTCTCGAATATGAGGTAATAACTCGTCATAGCTGAATAATTTGTGTAGGTGGTACATAGGTAGTAAACAAAGCTTATAAAAACGAGCATATAGCGCTGTTTATTCAACATTCGTTCATTTATTTATCTTTAACCGAACTCTATTAGAAAGCAGCCCAAAATGTACGGTGGGGGTTATGGGAGTTATGGGGTTTATGGGGGTTATGGGGGCTATGGTGGCTATGGTGGTTACAATATCAACGCTATTTATAACGCAGCAGTGCGGGAAGCTGCTACAGATGCATACATCAATGCTACCGTACCAGGAGGAGTCAACAGTAAGAAATCACTCGTAAACTTAGTTTTGATTTATTCTGGCAGGTCGTTCGGCGACTTAGCTCGAAAATTGGTTTTGATAAGAGAGATTTTGTTTCTCTACCTCTCAATATGATAAACGAAAAATAATAGGCTCCCACGTCGTTCCTTCGCGGATTTTGACGCATTAAGCGTTAGCGTACAGAAAGTTAGTTCATTTTCAGGAACTATTGGGCCACTTAAAGAATCTTTTGCGTTGAATTATCTGGAAAAAAGAAGCTTACTTCCAACTTCATTGTACTGGTTGGGCAGGTAATTTTGCTAAAACTGTGCGGTGGACTGACAAAATGCGGAACAACTAAACGATTTAGTTGGAAAATCGATAAGTAACTTGTTTTCAATGTTTTAAAATTATTCCGCGTGTTTGAGAACGGTTTTGAATAAAGCAAACATCGCTGGCAATATGTAGCTGAAGTGCCAAGCATCATCAAGTTGTTGTACAGAGAAAACGTTCGAACATTATTTGCAGTGTCCAATATCAACCTAGCCGCTGAAACCATGAAGAGTGCCACAAGTAAAACTTTTGCTTATATGAGTAGTCAACCTTCTATTCATTTCTGTTGGAGCACAGATGTGAAGTTCTTCAAATGACTCAATAGTTATCAAAAACGGCTAGACTCTACATGAGCCAAAGTTGAGTTAAGATGAGAAACCGACATTACTCAAACTTTGAAAACTTCAGTTTTAAGAGGCCAGCTGAGTTACATCATCTGAATCATTAAAAAGTGACTTTTTAAAGAGTAGATCATCCATTTTTTGTGTTCGCTAGGTCCCATTGGCCAAATAATGGATGAGATGATGGGTGGTAATCCAAATCCAACTGCTCAACAAATGATGAATACAATGACTGGTGGATACGGTTATAACCCTTATGGCAGATATATGCCATAAATAGTTTTGGGAAAATGCAATTAGTCGAGAACTAAGATCAACAAACTTTTTCTTTTTTCATTGTTTTGTGTGTAAATTATATTTTAAATAGATGCTCACTCGTTCCACTCCCGAGATGGCTACAGCACCACTTGTGATGGACACTGATCTGTCTTGTGAGCTTGAGCACTGCGACTACTGTTTCTGGAGACTATTAGGACGAAAAAAACTTTAAACGCAGTTCTGCGGTCTAGATATGGAAAAAAGATTTTATTCACACTGAACTACAGAAATATCTATGATCACACCAAATGTTCATATGTTAACGTATGTATAGCATTTGAAATTTTACTTTATTAAATTGTTTTGTCTCATAAAATTCTGTCTCCAAAAACTTTTGTTTCGGTTTTTTCGCTCTTTCGAACGGCGTGTGATTCAAAGAGTTTGAACAAAGTTTATATCCACACTACAAGGAAAAAACGAGAATCTGTATATTTTCAACTTTTTCAAATCTCACAACTGTGGTAGGTCTCCAAGTTGGAAAATCTGTGTGACATTAATAAATAACTTTTTGAACGGAAAACGTAAACGTCTCATAAAAAAGTAAATATTCTCTTTCTAACATGTTATCATCGACTTCTTCTCTATCCTTGTGGAATCTCGCTTCGTCAAAATGGAAAAATAAATAACTTTCGAATAAAAGGAACTATAGACCGTCGAATTTTCAATGCCCAAATCCAGATGGGCCGATGCGTTTGGGTTTTCTGTGGAATCAGAGAAGTGTATTGACACTTATCCTGGCTGCGAGCCCGGACCGAATGGACGCGTGAGCATTGCATGGAATTTAGAAATATTTTTAGACCTCTGGGGTTATTTGGGGGTCTTGAGAAAACTTTTCTAGATTTAAACTACGTTATGAAGTTGACACATCAAATCAGAGAAATAGTCATAACGCATTATAGATCGTCCCTAGCGAACACCGATCGGAGGGAGGTCTGAACTTTGTTTTCTAATCAAAGTGATGGAGGGTCGTTCGTAGATATAAGTTCCTAAAGTCAAGAGAAGCGAGTGCGGACTAGCGTTACATTGTTTTCTCTCTCATACTTGAAAATGTCTACCTTTCTAGCCGACTATCCTCTTGTTTGCTGTGAAATTCGACTAGAAAATTGGGTTGAAAGTAAAACAATTGATTATCGTCTTTACTTGACTGTTCATTTTTCAGCTGAAAAATATCTTGTGCCATAATTTCTTTAAAATTCACATTCTCTTTTGGCTGCTTCAGCAAAAATCGAGCTATGCTCATTACATGTTGTGATAATTCGATTAAAAGAGAAATACAGTTAATTGCTAAATAGGCTCAGTTATCATGATATTGTATTATGATACTGTCCTATGAAAAACAAATAAATAACATTATATAAATAACATTAGCTGATTCACACTTAAATTTGAGAATACAGAACAGTCAAGTAAAGACGATAATCAATTGTCGTACTTTCAACCCAATTTTCTAGTCGAATTTCACAGCAAACAAGAGGATAGCCGGCTTCTCCAACTGTAATATCACGTTGATCGGCTATACTTTCTCCAGCACATGTTTCAGAAAATCCATATCCTTGAAATAATGTTATACAGAGTGCAGCTTGAACAAAACGCTGTGTATATTTATCCAAAACAAAAAAATACAACTCGAAAAGCGGCCGCCAGATAAGTCTCAGTGATCCACTGTGATTCTCTGTGATTTTATATAACTTCCAGTCATTTCTAGTGACTTTTCATCAAAATCGACAAAAATCCCAAAATCAGCTGTTGGACAATTGCCTCTCCTCGCCCATAGATTGACCCGCTCATGAGAAACACATGTCTTCCCACGTTTCTAGAAACCCGAGAACTCAATGGACATAGAGGTGGGTTATTCAATATATAACTCGGTCGACCATCTACTGCCCTGATCACATTGAACACTGCATATATTCCCGATACATCCAGCTGTTTGAGATGAGATAGACTCAGGATCATTGGTTGTTTTAGTGGTGTCAACGCACTTGTGCGCACAAACAAATAAGTCAAACACTAGCTCCATTTCGTACAGCCACCTAAGCCTATTTTCCAAAGTTGCCACCGAAGAAGTGAAGAAATACATAGGACGTGATGAAGCAACTTGAAAGGTGGATGGTTCAAAAAACTTTTTATTGAAAAAACAAACAAATTATACATCATTTGATACAGTTTTCTACACTGTTTCCGAGTATGTCATTATTTTGAATAAAAGTGTAGCTAGACGGCGAAAATTTGATTTTATCTATATAACCATGGTTTTTTTAGAAAATCTGCTGTAGGATCCGGCATCATTTATGTATGTTTATGCATTCACCATAAATGGAGGACATCTAGATGGAAATTGTACGAGAGTCTGAGCATTTTTAGAGCTGCGCGAACCTGCGTGTGTTTACTTTACCAAATGTAGCTGTTTGAAAAATCACCTGAGAAAACTTTCGTTTATCTTCTCAGTTATAATAAATGCAAATTAAAATTCTTTTTTACGAATCCGTAGCTGACTTCATGCAAATCTGGAGCATATGTCGTTGACGGAAAACTCATTAGCAATCGTGTTTTACAAAAAAACTTCTAATGCACATGGACTCGTCCGACATAACTAGAAAAACTCATATGTTGATATTCACTAATTTTATCATTTGGATTATTAAGAGCAATGATTGCAACAGGATAGCATCAGGGTGTAAAATCGGGTCTCTAGAGATCCATAAACTTTAGAACTTGGATGTATTTTGATGATAACGTTCGATTCAGAATCGTGTTTCTCATGTTGGTTTGGATATTTTCTGAAGCATTCAGCACGATAAAATCGATGGAATTATGGATATTTTAGCCGCAAGATTTCGATTACTCGTGGAAAATAAGCTTCGAGATATTGAGTCGACCTGTATCCATCCAATTCAAACAAACGATGCACCTAGTTCACTGGGTTTTGTAGAGATAATTCTTCTCTACAAGATCCATATGGTCATATGGTAGCTAGGTTCCGAAACTTTAGTTAGCAATTTTTTTGCGCGATCATCAGAATTAGTAGAAAAAATCGCTAGCTATGGCTATCAAAGACTCAAACACCGCTCTTTTCCATAAAAACCTTATTACTCGAGTTCTATGGGATTACTCAAAGTGATCTTGTCTAGTCTGAAATAATCAGTTAAGATTTCTGACAGCATATTTTCAGGATTGTTTCGAAGAAGATCAAGTAAACCAAGATTTCCAATGTGCGGACGGGGAAGACGAAAATCGCTGCTGCAACCACTATTCCTTTATCTAAGGCTCAGTCGTGGCATGAAACATGATTCCACTGATTAGGACATCGACGATCACTCGTGAATCATGATTGTTTTGTCTACACACTCTTTAAACAATTTTGTTTGCGTATTCTAAGACCGTGTGCATGTATGACTTAACGATGATACTTCAGGTTTGATCCATAACTTACATATGAATCATTTACAAAGTCATTAAACGAGGCTCAAAGACATGTCAATCGACGCAGTTTTGCACGCTGATTCCAAATATACACTTTATTCGGCTATTTAACCTCGATGAAGTGTCGAAAAACCTGCTAAAATCGCTGAAAATGATACTTTTAGAACTTTCAGTATTTTAGGCCGAATTCTCGAATGCAAAGTCAAAACTATTTTCTGATCACGCAGAATTATAGGGAAATGTCCCTGCTATCGATTACACGTCTCAAACTTGAAAAATCAATACTCCATCACCCTCAGACCCCGAGACTTTTCAGAAAACATCCCCTCTACCCACCCTAAAGTTCGAATAAAAATCTTTCTACGATATATTCATACAAGCCCCATATGTGGCTCTTGCATGTAGAAAACCGCATCTCGATAGCTGCTTGTGTTCCAGAGTTATTGGGCGTACACTGACTGTCTCTGCTATTTTAAATTGGATAGCAGTTGTCTGCGTCAACGTACGGCTTCATTTCTATATAAATACATGATATTTATTCACCTTGGCTTTCATGTGGCAAGATATATTTTGTTAGTAATGTTCGCTTTCTTTTGCGTCAATGTATCTATCTTTTTATCGACAGACTTCTGGTTGTACACACAGGTAACTGTTGTCGTATGTGCTATCTAAACCACAGAGAAAGATGCCTAGTCGAAACTTTTTGTTTTCTGTTCCAGGCATATTTCTTTTCACTTTTGCTATGTACTAAACTGCAAAAAAAAATTTCAGTTTCACTAATGAATAGAACTTAAACATAATCATTAAGAGTTATACTTGAAAAGCTGAACAAGTGTTTCTTCAATTATATTACATACACAAAAATATTCTATTACTTGTCCAGTGTCTTTTCTAGATCTACGGACGTTTCCGAGACCCATCAGTTCCAAACAGTCGAATCAATGGGACGTCAAGTGATAAAAACAGCTGATACCACGAGCTCAATGGTATTGGAAATCGAATTCTGATCCATGGTCCACAAATGGAAAAGAAGAATGGACAAAATATTCTGATATCGAATCAGCGATTATCGAAGAAGCATTTAACGGAAAAAATAAAGCAACACTACTATCCATTTCAAAATAGAATGGCCGGTCAGTGTTGACCTTATAGCTCCGGAACGGTGATAGATAGAGAGGTGCGGTTTTCACCATTCGAAAGAGAAATATGGGGCTACGATAC